TTCACGTTTCATACGCATAGTTTATTTCATCTTTAAATGCTAAACATACTTTTGTTTTAAATATATTCTAAAAGTTTATTTATTCGCATTAAAAATTCGCAAAATTCAATTTTTGAGAAGTGCTACTGTTATTCAATAAGTGCTATAAGTGCTAAATGTAATAATAAATAGAAATATACTCAATTGTTAAATTAAGAAAGAATTAAATCACAAATAACAACTTTAAATAATATGAGTTTAAATATGTTTTCACTAAGTTAATAGTGTTTATGTTCTTTACCAAGGATTGCATCCCCATTCTAGTCATAGTATTTTTTTACCTCTGAAAACGGAGTTTTGCTTAACGAAGAAATTTCGATTCATAAATCAAAGAAAAACTGTAAATGAAATTGAATATGTATTGTATGATTTTATTTTTTCTTGCGTTAGAAAAACAATTAATTATAGAGTAATAATAACTATGAAACAGAGATTTTATAATTATAGCGTGGAACTAACAACAAACTTATTGCAAATTAACACCGAACATATTGGTTTCACGTTCATTACAGTTTACAACTAATATTAAATATTATATAGTGTATTAAATTATTGGAAAGTTCATGCTCAAATAGTTATAGCAATATTAAATTTCTTCTAAATTTGTATGGTAATAATATAAAAGTGTATTTTCATAAATATTTTTAATTAAATTATTTTTAATATTTCACCAGTTTAACCACAAAATCTGATCATAAAATGATGTTCATTGTAACTGTAAAGCGTAGCAAACATGATTATAACTCGAGCGTAAAAAGCAGATCTTGTTAGGACAACTAGCAAAACGGAAAGAGTACTAATCCAGCAATATTTTAGATATGATGACTTCAAGTACATCGTTTAATCAGATCTTATTTTTTAAAACTTTCTTTCTTGGATTTTCAGGGAATTACGGATGTGTACGGGGAGAAACAATAGAAGCAAAACATAATGATAGAAAAACACAATTAATTTGAACTCTTTCTATATAACGAATAGCTTGAATTGAAATAGAATTTCATGATTTGCAATTTAATCTCCTATCAATTGCTTCTAGTAGTTGCATTTTGATTAAATTGTATGAAATGTGATATTTTCAGAAAACGTGCAGAGACATTAACATCAATAGCATTTGCAAGGATGCAATTGAACATGTAATTGCTCTAATGAAATTCTTGCGGTTTTCTGATGCGACGAAGCGCTTATGTATGGATGGGTGTTGGGTGTGCGTTTGCTCTACCCGCAATCCGCCACCTACCGTCCTCCACACTCTTGCCTATCCCTGTCCGTTTAAGTTGTGCACGTCGAAAACATTGAGAGCTGCGGGGGTTGAAGCGAACATGCCGAGGGGTGGAGGAAGAGCAACATTCGACGTCCAAATGAGACACAGAATTTAATTTGAAATTCTTCTATTTCCGACGTAATGATCACGCGTTTTCCATGAGCCAACGTTTTACAGTGGTCGAGCTTTTCATTTACAACAGGACCCGTCTGTTCTCTCCATCACCCTTTCTCACTCTCTCTCTCACACATACATTCGTATGCACCCCTTACCTATTCTCGTTTGTTTTTATGCTGATATTTCGTGCAGCTCTTTTAAACGTTGACGTACATATGCAGCAAAATATGTTTGGAAATTTGACTTGAAAATTGCGATTCAAACGAAATGTGTTTTGTTCGCGTGATGTGTTTTCCGGTTCTTTGTGCCTTTAGTGCTAGCGCGCAGATTAAAAATTATGATTGACAAAAAATTTAATGGAATGTGTGGAATAGTACAACGCGGTTGTTCTCGACCGAAAAGTGTTTCCAGTGATTTCAAGGGTACACCTCAACATTGATAGGAATTGATCGAAAATGTTCACATAATCGTGCATGTAGATAAAAAAAAGAATAAAGCGATTTCATAGAGCAGAAAATCACAATTGTAACAAAAATAGTTCTTATCTTCCTACATTAAACTTTAACCCTTTTTTTAATTTATGTAATATTAAGTACAGTCAAACAGTCAAACTTCGTATTTTTTTATGAATCATTTAAATTATGTAACCTAAGTTTAAAATTAATTTGTAAAGTTAAGTTTATTGACTAAATGATAATTTGTAACGTTATATATTTCCAATAGAATATTTTTCTATATTGATGTTTTGTGAAGACACTCGATTTACTTACGCGTTAGAATGGGCGTAAATATAATGATCATAATTACTGTAACTAATTAATTAAAAACAAAACAGATTTAACCAAAATTATCTGCAACATCGATTGAATCCGCATCAATAACAAAGCGTGGCGGCAACAATGCTTTTCATAATATCTGTTGAAATGATTTTCTAAAATTTGAACCAATGATATGAATCCGTTTCATAGGTAGAGCGGTTGTTTAATGAATGGAACAACTAATTATAGTTGCATTAAATATAATGATAAACTATAAACTGAAAGTGGCATTTTAATAGCTAATTAATTTGAATTGCGTATAATTTAATCGATCGAAATAAAATGGTGGAAAGCGTTCAGTGCAAGCAGGCACAGAATAAACGTCAAAATTTGCATAAATCGATGCCTCCAACCAAATACAATTTTAATGCGATTTATTAAACGGTAAAACGGCTTTAGTGCCATTGCAGCCAAAAACAGTCATGTTGTGTTTTATTTTTTTTTGGTTCGTTTTGGTGTTGGCTGCTTTTGGTTATATTGTCCTGGTTGGATAATCGTTCCACAAAACGCAAATCGGGTGCACTTAAAAATTATGGGTTATTTACGAGTGATGGGACATGTTTGAGTGCCTAGCATTGCATTAAATGAGTTACCGGATTCTGCAAACGGAATATCTGAAAGGACTGCCTGGTACATATATATATATATATTATATAATAGATGTTAAAGGCTGCAGATTGCTCGTGAAATGTGAATCGACTGGGAAAACTTGCAATTTCGCTTCAAACCCGCCACATGCTTATAAATCATGCAGAAGAGTCTGACGACATAATTGGGGTCGTTGAGAAAGTATCATCTATCATATCATATTTGTTGCTAATTAGGTCTTGCTACTAAAAACAGAGAAACTCGACTGACCGCTTTATGGTAATTTCTCGTTCACAGCACAGCAAGAGATCCTTACACCAAGCAAAGGACTATATATTATTAGATATGTTAATTCGCGTCTGGCAGATTTCATTGCTCTGATTATAATTTAATTCAGTACATTTGCACGTCAACAGACAGTCCTCCCTATTTCTCTGGCATCATCACACCTCGACATCGCAATACAAAAATTATAGGCAATCTAATCACACGCCATAACCCGGCACATTCATCCTGTTTTCGGCCTCGACTCGGATTATGGAAATACGAAAATTTACACTAAAAAATATATATATATATGTTGAGCGTGATTTACATCACAAATTCAGTACATTTCAATACGAATCAATAAATCAATGAACAATTTTATTGGGAATCTAGCACATTGGTAATTGAAAAAATATTACAACTCAATATTAAGTTTAAAACCGGACTAATCAAGGATTTTAAAACCGCTTAAAAATGTACTGCACAAAAAAGAGACTTTCTTGTATAAAAAAAAACGATAATTTATGTTTAAAATAGGAATTTTGTGTACTTTTGAATTCTAAATATAAATTTAAATTTAGTTTGTTTGAAACTATAGTAAATTGGGATCGAATACATTTTTGTTAAATGAAAGTATTAAAACTTGAAAGAAAAGATAATTAATATGACTATTGTAAATTGAAGTAGTGCAAATACAAGAACCACAGTGAAATGTAACTGGGTATTGTCATAGCGGTGAGCTTTGCTCTGCGGTATTCCTGCTAAAGTCGTTACTGGGGAGAGGTACCCTAGGGATTGATGCTGGCATACCACAGTCTCTTCTACTCTATTATGAGTTACAGAGTAATGGTACAGAGCCATGCAGCTTCGGTTAGTTAGATCATCTCGATGTTGCGGATGGTTAAAACTAATGGTTACCATAAAGTCAATGAATTATTAAATAGATATTACAAAATTGTTCAATAAAAATGTTTAAATAAATAAAAATAAGAATTAATAACAATTCAAAATATAACTTTTTTTTTAATATAATATAAAAAGTGTAATTAGATTTCTATCTGTCTACAATTACATTCAGTGCTTATTCAGATTTTGGTATTAGTAGTGAGATTATAATTGTAGTGAATATTGCAGAATTATGTTAATAATTTTGTAATACCAAATATTAGTAGGCTAAAAGCTTTTAGTTGATGGACAGTAATCGTATTAGTGGTCAATAAAGATTATTATTGATCTGTATAATACCATGTAATTTATACTACGGGATAAATATTAGTGACTTTTTATAAAGGCAATTTTAAATTTCCTAACCTATCCTAATCCTAATCTATCATTCTTACCATCGTCGTTTTGAATTTCGAAGCCAAACGACAATTTTAATATCATTAAATCAAACTAATTCTAAATTGAGTCCTACCTTTATTTGATAGAGAAAAGTCATAAAGCCCTAAAAACCACTTAAAAAATTGATAACAGAGTTCTTGAAGGGCCACATTAAGAATGTCATGCGCACTGCATGTTAAGTAGAGATGACGGAAGGAGTTAGTGTTGATGACTACATTATACAGTGGTTTAACAAGAAAAATATTAGAAAATGGAGCTTTTAGTATTGAATTATATATTACTTTTTCTAATGAAATTATAGTTTATCTCAAAATATTATATATTCATATTATTTTTCTATATAACGCACGTAATAAAATAATTATTAATACATAAAGTAGTAGACTAATGCGATCTTAATATACAGATATCATGTTTAGATGTAATAAGTTTAGCTTTATCATATATAATAGTAATAGTTCACATTAAGCTACCAAAATTATTTTGGTTTAATATTCATTACATTAATTTATAACATTTTCAGATGCAAGCTTTATTACGCTATTAACTATAGTAATTAAACTTACATCTAATAATAACTTCAATTTGATTAACCTGTAACAAAAAGAATATTACTAATAACTGCATTATTTATAAGATAAAGCAATATCTCGGATAGTGCGATTTCGATCTGTGAGGATTAAGTATAGCCCATTTTAAAAATTATATAGTCAAGGCTCTTTTTATGCAGTTTATATGTACATTTAGCAGGTTTGTATCGTCATCCATTTAATTCTCGTTATGAGAGATAAGATGCGAGTGTGTATGTTATATGAAGTTTGAAAGTCCTCGATTAGTGCGGTTTCGATTACCCGCATTTTACGAGGTGTTGCTGCACATACAAATGACATAAATAACAGATTTCATACCATTACGTAATTTCTCTAAGAAAATTTAAAAAACAGAAATAATTAATTATAAAATATTATACTAAGGCGTCAACTAATTATAATATTTTGGTTTCTAATTGTAAATAAGTCTAATCTTGAAAGTTAGAAATTTACAAAGTATTAGCGTATTAACATAAGCGTGTAACAGGTTATAAGCTGTTCATTTTTTAACACTTCCATACTTTCTATACAGAGAATTTAATGCGTTTTGACTCATAAAACTGTTGAAATTGTATATAGAAGCGCAGTGTATAAAAGTTATACCATAATAAAAATGTATCAAAAATAAAAAGAAATAAATATAATATTTGAGTCTTAAAGACAATAGTTTAAAGCGTTTTTTTATTATTTGATCTAAGTTATTATATACATTTTTTAATCAAATTTGTACATAATTTTCAAACATTATTTTCAATGATTACGAAATCATAATAGATAAATAAAATATTTGTTATGTTATTAATTATAATTGCTATAATTTCTCACATATGCCGATTCGACAGAATCCTGATTAATTATAGTTTGGTTTAAACATTTCATTCACTAAAATAAAAACTAATTCTAAAAAACATTATATAAACAAAAATGTTTTATACTCAAATAATCAGTTTCTTTATACAGTTTTGGGTATTTACGGCGACTCCCTAAAGGGAATGGGATGAAAATAATTCTCTTTTTTATCTATGACGCAGATAACAAACCCTTCAGTTTTATACTTTCTATAACTTATCATTTATATTTTACTCATATCCCTTGAACCCTGTTATTCTAAAGGTTGTAACTAAATATATATGAACATATAACTACCAAATTTATTTAGTTTCAGTATTTTCAATTTCCATAATAAGCAGTTTGGTTGCGAAATTTGTAGTTATTAAACTGTACATTAAAACTGTAGATTGTATGCATGTAGGTATTAGTAGTTGGCACGCTTGACAGACATTTATGTCTCATGTCATGCATAGTGTGGAATTAAATAGATCAAGTTAATCAGTCGTAAGGTAATCAAAACTGATTAACCCGTGGGTTAACTGTAACGGCAGAGTTAACTATCGGTTTCTGCTTGTATGCAACCGAGTTTAAGGGTGTCACACGAGGTGGTAATAAATAAGTAGTATAATACAGAAATAGTTGCAGATAATGTATTCGTGGCCTGGCATCAAGTTAATGTTTGTGTTTTTCTTTCGGCCGGGAACAACGCGTTGGCACGCCGAAGACTTAAAGAGTTTTATGCATGCAAATACTACTGACTGCTGACAGAGTATAACGAAACACCAGCTTCGCGAAACTCAATTTCCGACGGCTGAATTTTATTTCGAGAAAATACAACTAACTGCTCTAATAAATAAGATATATTATTAGTTGTTTGTCTAGTACGAAGATTTCTCATTCTCAAGACATACACATTAATTTAATTGCTTCTAGAAGATTTTTTTTTTAAATTAATTAAGAAAAATAAATGACTAAATTAGTGTGCACATAAATAATATATGACTACATAAGTTCCTTGCGGTTTCGTGCCTAAGTAGTTTCCCGAGTTGCGAGAATTTCCAATAATACTATAGGGAACTTGACAAGTTCCCCACATAGTGTATTCCCATTTAGTAAACTTTAACTTAAACTGTTAAAAGAATTATATGCTACAAATTTTGCACGAATCTTATTTTTATTTATTAACAATATCGTTAATTGGATTAATAAATAATACAATTTTATAATAATCTTTGTGGTTGTAGTTTTCCTAAACTTCCTGTACATACTACAAGTTACTTGTCAATTTACGTATATTGTGTAGCTCTATTTAGTAAACTACTAACTGGTCTAATAAATAAGATATATTAATGGTTGTTTGTCTAGTAGGAATATCGTTGGTTCTCGAGACATACAATCTTCTTTAATTGCTTCCAGAATAAAAAAAAATAGCGCATTTGATAAGCTCGCCGTCGCCTCGGTTAGAGGGTCGTAGGAATATGTAGGGCGGAGGGCCTTCCTCCCGGAAAAAAAAATGCGAAAGAAAGGGCTCTGATACCGGTTTTAGGCGGTTGTGTTGCGATAAACCTTGCCGGCTGGATTGAGATTGCGGCTGAGGAGGCGGCGGTGGTGGCCCTGGGGCTCCTCTGAGAGATAAGGGGGATCGCAAGACGACGACGACGATGCCAAGCTCTCATCGTCGCACACATATACATATACACAAACACACGCATACGCTCATCCGTACATACACTAACATACACACTCGCACCTTGTCCCTCATAGCGGGAATAAAATTGATGACGATGCGAACCTGCTAAATGTACATGTATCCCATTAAGGGTGGAAACCTGGTTTCGGCACGATGCACACCCTTTTAGATATGTTTTGAGGACGAGGGTGGTGCCTGTTCCAATACCTAAAGAAATATTTGATTTGATCATAAAATCGAAGTTTCCTACAACATCTTACAGATATTTTTACGAGGAAATATTTCATGCAGAAAATTTAGATCAAACTCAAACAACATTTTTATTATAGTTATACAATATTTTTATTTTTTTAAATCTTTAAATTAATTAATAGGAACAAACAATCATTACGTAAGAAAATACTTATTGTAAAGTAAAGTTATATTTTCTAGAAGAATATATATTTACTTTTAATTGAAATTATTATATAAATAAAATAATAAATTCTATACAAAATATTGATAGTATTAAAATTGTTAAATAAATATTTTTTATTATTTAACATTTTTATTTGATAGAAGTTGAATTTTCATTACTTGGTTAATTAATTATGAATTATTTATACATGTTTTATGAAGTATTTGTGTGGATAAATTGTAGAGGTGGGGTTGTACTAGAAGCAAGTAATTATGGCAAATGAAACAGGAAGTGCTCGGAATACATTACTTATTAATTTCAAGGAATGAAGATGCCAACAAAACCGCGCCCACCACCTGCGCATGGAGTTCCAATTTAAAGAAAACTCTTCGTTTCTCCAGAAAACGTCCAGGCAGAATATATTTATACAAAACGGGCAGAGTGCAAAGTATAAAAGTCTCATGAGCAGTAGTGTGTGGAAAATGCTTATGGAATTTATGAGAACGACCACGGTAAACATGATTCAACTGGGAAACACCATAAGGACGACCCAAACACACTCTTTGTTTTCTTTGCATCTCCCTTCTTTTCTGCCATCCACATACACAACATCCACCCGCCTCTCCACATCACAAAGGCACTTTATTTTTTCCACATAACATAACAACCGGAGAAGGTAATCCAATATCGAAAAATATAAATTACTTCTAATCTGTTAATAGGAGAGAGCAAGGGTCGCCCAGTTGCAGGATAATGGCGATTTATGTGCCGTCAAAGGATTTATGTGGAATAACATTTCCGGGCCGCGTGTCTATCGATTTAGTGCTTCTTTTAATTACTAATTCGGGACACGACAAAGCCGCGGGCCTCGGCGAAATTAAAAACTTTTTTCGTTTTTATTCAACTCTTACACGTCCGAACACACACACAAATACTGAAGTCTATGTATATATGCGTGAACACAGACACAATCCACCAAACACATATGATGTGTCTCTTATTCTCCGATTACGCCCCAAAGTTATAATGAAAATGTTGCCAACGCCTACCGCTCAAACACAAATACGAAGGGAAAATATTTGCGTCCAGGCTCAAATAATAAATTATGCCTTCCATTGTTAATGAAACCCAAAAGTCATGGCCGAGGTTAAATTATATGAAATAATTACAATATTAATAAAAGCAACTTACTCAGAAAAGCTGGTTTTTAATAATCTTAACATTAAACCAATATTTAAAAAAAAATAAACTACAGTTAATCAAAATGTGTAGAGGTCCTTGTGCAGCTCCAGAATGATCAAAGCCCTCTCTACTGTACCCAGATATGTTCCAACGTGGCTTCCTAAACTGCTTATATAAAATCCGGATGCAATGTTCAGCAATGTCAGCCTTTCATATATAACATAATATTATAAACAGGAAGCACACACGGAGTAATAAGAATCTATATACTTATACTTAATTAAATGCAAAGATGAACCTCATACATCAACGTATATATATATTGTGATTTTCTTTTAAAACTATAGTAGTAACATAATTTACTTTACCAATAAATTACGTGCAGCAGGTCTGCTGGTAACATAATCATAAAATTATTTCCATCCACGCTGAGAGCGTATAACATAGAATCCATGTACATACAATTTTTCACACACTGGCTCTTCCTATAGTTTAAAACAGCAGAGCAAAAAAAAATTGTAAACATGACTCCCAGATAAATTAAAAAGAACTTTCATATATTAAACGCGAAGTCGACTGTGTGCATCCATTTCAAATATTTAGAGGAAACAAACTGGATTGATGATTGCCGCTAAAAACAAATGAATGCGGTTTTCATTTTTCTGCATTATTTTCGTGCTCGTTCGTCGAGGACAGATATTAAAATGCGGCAGGAAAAATTAATTGGACCCGTTTGTTTTGACGCAATACTAATTTGGTAGAAAGCAACTATGACAAATTACCAATTAGTCTGTGTAGAGTTTTTAATAAAAATGCAGCTTTGTACAATGGCACGAAATAATATTTATACAATTCACAAAAGTGTTGTTGCAGTTAGCAGTTCGTTGAAACGGATTCTACGGAATT